ACACACACACACAAAGAGAGAGAGAGAGAGAGAGAGAGAGAGAGAGAGAGAGAGATTTCTTTTCTGCTGGAAACCTACTTGTCTTTCTTTTGAACGACATCCTTCACATATTGTTCACATATTGTAAGTGCTTGGAAATGTTGGTTCTGTCTCAAAACACACATCTAAATTCACAATGCAATTCTGAATTACACTTTCTTTCTAAGGAAATCATGCTCTGCTAAGGATGGCAGTAAAGTAATTGTCTGACTAATTGTGGAGCATTAACAGGCTTAGTTCACGAGAAAGGTACTCTCAGAAGCCAAGCAGGAATTTTGACATGCTGTGCAAAGCAAATCCAGACATTAAGAGAACTGCGTGCTTAAGTGTGCATAGGTATAGGCTGTAACAGCACATGCAGAAGGTTAACCCCACACATCTTAATGAGTGTTCTATAGAGATAAAAACGCTTTGCCCTGTTTAGCATCACCTGCAGCCAGGACAATGTACTCCGGTTAAGACAGGGGAAGACCAAGCAGGTAGACAAGCATGTGTGCTCTTACAAACTCCATCTCAGCGGTTTAAAAAGGTTCAGAGCATATGGGAATGGAGCCTGAAAATACAGCAATAAGCCATAAATAGTGGGGAACTATTTCAGCCATCGCTAATAGACAGTCACTGCATGGCTGAAGCCCAGCAGCTGGTTACCAGTTCACAGGCACACTATAAAATGAAGAGACGCTACAACTTCTAATTGAAGCTGTAGAGAGAATTTATGGAAGTTGACTATTATTGCTGAAGCTCATTTTTCACCTTCCTTAAGTTTACAGTCTGTGTGTGAGGGTTTGTTTAAACACTGCTCAAATCATAGATAAATCTTCACATTCTAAGTATAGCACCCCTGGAAACACACCCAGAATTTAGCACTATTCTAGCAAGGGGAGGAGAGCCATTTTGCCTCTGTGATATTGTAGATGATTACTGTAACATGATTATTCAAAGCCATTTTACCTGCAAATAAATTCCTGATTATCATTCTTTCTCCTTTGCTAAAATATAGTCTGTGATTCAGAATCCACAGCTTATGGTTGAGACCACAGCTCTGCATTTGTTCCATTCATTTGCTTTCACTAGGGGGCTACAGTGAACGCAGATTTGAATCTTCTCCATACATATGTTATCTCTATAGTCATCTACAGATTATTATGATTTTCTTAACCTTTGAGTGACAATGTATATGAGTATGGGTGTGCAAATGCCACAGCCCTGCATGGAGATTACAGGACAACTACAGGAGTTGGTACTTTCCAATTGTCTAAGGATGGGTCTTCGGTTTGCCACTGTGTACATCAGGTTCACTGGCATGAGCTGCCTGAAGATTATAGACATGTGTTACAAAGGCTGGCTTTCAAGGGGCTCCAAACATTGAAACAGAGGTCCTTATGCTTACACAGCCAGTCCTTTATGATTGAGCTATCTTGACAACCTACCGACTATTTTATTTCCACAAACAGCAGTCTTGTTATATTTTATATGAAAATATTATCACTTAAACATGCATGCCAGTGCTGTGAATGTAGTGGTGATTGTAGATGAAGGACAATGGGACTTCCTCATACTAAAATCCAACCTCATTGCTCTTGTTCCACATTGCTTCCTTCCAATGAGACCCTACATATGAATTCTGTATCTATGCAAATACTCTTTTGTGTTTCAAGCATTCCATTTTTTTCCTTGGGAAGTAAAGGATGATTTGTAAATTTTGGAGCTAAGAGACTACAGGAGTTCTGGTGTAGCTCAATGCAGAATGCATGATTAGATTTGGGAGACTCCAGGTGTAATTTATTGCTGCTATTATTATTATTATTATTATTATTATTTTTATTATTGAAAAGAGAGAGTGCAGGCAAGCATGTGCATCCATGCATGTATGAAAGTCAGAGGGCAGCTTTATGAAGCCAATTCTCTTCTTCCACACCAGTTTCTAAGGATAGAACTTAAGTCCTCAGGTTTGAGTAACAAGGGCCTTTGCCTAGGGAAACCACCTGCCATTTCTTCAGTAAATGCTATTTTTCAATGCTTGTCTTCAGCTACCTCATGAAAAGGAACTGTCAGGTCTAGGGCAGGGTGATTTCATGCTCCCTTCAACAGGATCCCAACCAGTGTGTGTCAGTCTCTCAGCTGTGTTGGGGGAAGTGTGGGGGAGAGTTAGGGTTGGGTGTGGATGTGGTGCTGTGTGGAGAGCATGCCTGAGGTTTGGGTGTGAATCTGTGCATGGAGACCAGCGCCTTTTACATGCCGAGTAAGCCCTCCAGCACTAAATGTCACTGAGCCTGTGTTCTGCTCTTGCTTCTGTCTCCCAGCAATTCTGAAATGGTTCCCTGTGTTCTAGGAAAAAGAGTATAAGGACTGTATTTTAAGAGCTTAACGTCAGAGAGCTGTGAGGACTAAGTGTCCTTTAGATGTGGCTTTTGTAAACAAACCACCGCTACAGAAAAAGGCACTATCTCTTTTAATAAAAGATATACATTTAAAATACTCAAGAGGGCATTGTACGTATTGTATGAGAGAACAAATGAAAATTGAAAAATAATCAACATAGATGTATTTATAAAAATGTTAAGATGCCATGTAAGCTTTGGCCACCCAAGTTTATTTTAGTTTGTGTCTCTGGAGGTAGTGCAAGGGTTTAGCAAACGTTAGAAAAAGCAGTCATGTCTCCCCTTCTGGAGCCCGTAGCTCCTATCCACTTTTCTTTGTCTCTTTCCATGACTGTGGGTGAACTCCAAGGTCTGGGAAACGGGAGATAAGGCTCACAAAGAAGAGAGGCAGTGGAGCAACCTAGATGACTGAGCAGGCTGCTGGTGCCTCCCTCTTGAGTTTTCCCTCTTGCAGGTATTTTCTGACTCTCAGCTCCTTTTCTCTTGGTTTTCAGCTGACGTTTTCCTTCCAGTGTGACCACGGAGCTTGGCATAACTATAAGAACTCTTATGTTGACCTATGTAACCCAGCTCTTGTAACCCCAGTTTTTTCTGTCCTCAGCACCGCTCTAGATCAGCTTACGATGGCACAGTTGCCTGAGGTTTTCGTTTCTCACTTTTTCGTTGCTTGTGTGCATGCATGTATGCATGCAGGGCTGTGGGGAGGACTGCCTAATTAAAACAGCACACGGTGGCATAATTCCCCTGTCCTTTTATTTGAAGTCTCAAAAGCTAGGGAATTTACCTCCAAAGTAGTAACTGTTTCCAGAATAAATGTGCAGCCGGGAGGTGTCTGGAGCCGGGGAAGCGGCAGCGTGATCCAGTGTGAGAGTGATGCGGTTTCTCCTGGCATTGACGCTGACAGAATGCCACAGACCGTCATTCAAGTCACTGCCTGCAAAAGAAACCGGGAGGGGTATTTCATGAGGGTTATCTCTCTCTTCTGATGTACAACTTAGTCTCTTTTCCTAAGCTATTTCTGATAGTTTTGGCTAAGAAACAAAGGGGACAGACCGAAATATGTGGGGCATCTGTGCTAAACAAAGGCATGCCATATATTAACTAAGATGGTGATTAGTGACTGAAGAGGAAAACGCAATCCTTCAAAATGAGACCCGCAATGATATCCCCGGAAACAATTGTTTTAAGAGATGGTTCCAAGAATCAAAACCAGGACTTAGCATAACTGATGCATGCCCTCTACCACTGGGCTGTACTGGTCCTGATAAATTATTTAATTATTCAGGTTCATTGCCTTCATTTCTTTTCCTGTTGCTGTGATAAAATACCCAGAAAAAATTAATTCAAGAGAGACAGGGCTTATTTCATCTCACAGTTCAAGGACACAGTCCGCAGTGGCAGGGAAGTCAAGCAGCAGGAACTTGACATTCCACCATTAGAAAACAGAGAAGGATGAAAACAGGCTGCTGCTCGGCTTGCTTTCTCCCCTGTGCACAGCCCAGGATCAGATCCCCAGTCCAGGGAATGGTCCTTCCCTCCATTAAGATGGGTCTTCACACATCAACTACTATAATCAAGGGAGTCCCTCACACATATTCTCAGTATAACCTTAGATTCTGTAATCCATCTTGAGTGTGCCTGAAGGCTTACTCCTGGTTGAATCTAGATCCCATCAAGGTGACAACTAACATTAATCACCACAACTATACCAGGGCAGTTTGATTTAAGACTATCATATGATTTTAGCAATCTTCTTCAATGTACTCCTAGCCTTCCCCATGGCCCATACTGTCTCACTCTCCACACGATTGCTTCTACTTTCATGTCAGATTACTGAAGTGGACAAGGCCAGCCCCACTGCAAGGCAGATCGAGTTCCTTACTGTAGTCAGGGCCAGATTAAATCACTACCAACTGTAGCAGTTTTAATATACTTAGTTGATTGTACACGTGATTGTGGGGGTGTGTACATGTGGAGATCAAAGAACAATTTGTATGAATTGAATCTCTCTTTCCACTACTTGAATCCAGGAATCGAACTCATGATACCAATTTGGTATCAGTACTAAGGGATCAAACATGATTAGAGGACAATCCCAGAGCATTTGTGGGCTAAAAGTGGCTTATTAAGAGCAAGCAGTCCTGATGCTGTGCCCCTTCTCTCTCTCGGCTGCTCTGCAACACTGCCCCACCTTACTAAGGGAGCTGCATTAGGAATTAACATGAAGGGCCAATCAATTCCGCTCAAAAATTTTCCATCTATGGAGACTTCTGCTTGATCATGCCTTACTGAACACTGAAGAAAACAGCTATATTGAGTGTTCAGGCCACAGTGACCAAGAACTATGCATGTTCATCGTTCAATCTTCAGCTTGCCTGGCTGTGCACTGAGCTGCTTTCCTTCTAACTGCCTCCGTTTCCTCACCTGCAAAAGGGTGTCCTGTACTTAAAGATGGCTCTAGGGATTATAACTATTACTATAATTGTATGCATAAGTATTTGGGCCCGCATAAACTAACACTGACAGGCAAAACCATGAATCCCAAACACCACTGGGGTTGGAAAAGTACAGATCATAACATATTCCTTTGTATTTTGGAATGAACCACAGTTAAAAGGTAGGGGCAATTATACAAAGGATTAAAACACTATCCTTTGACATTAGACCAATGAGAAGGACAAATACATTGACAAGCCAGGAAATGGACATTTAGACTGACTCTGGGCATAACCTTGCTGTTTGCACTCACAGGAGCTATGATTACCCACATAAAACCTACATAAAATCTGGCTCACCAACACTCTGTCAGAGAGTGTGAGGAGCTTGTGACGATTCAACCCATCATGATTTATACTCAGTTATCGGTTGTTGCATGAGAGGCCGTCTTCAATAGTGCAGTCACTATTAAGACACCTAGAACCTGCAACTCCTGACCCGTGCTCCTGTACACAACACCATGAAACTCACTGGTTAGTAAAACTGGACCCATGAAAGTAGAAAGGGGACCAGTTTGGAATGTGATGGGATCAATATGAGTTGGGGGGGTCAGGAGAGAGAGTGAAAATATAAAGGGGTGAATATGGTCAAAATATACATGTGTGTGAAATAGTTATAAAGAAACCAAGTACATGTAGTCAATATATGCCAATAAAAATTGAAGACAAAATCAACCCAACAACAAATAGTCGCAAACTTGCAGCTCTAGGTGAGACAGTGATGACAGGCAAGGAAGAAAGAGGACTTACTGCCTCTGTGTGTGAAGTCTAGGAATGTTTCACCGAGTAGGTACGAAACAGTTTTGTCCAGTGAGCAAAAATTCTAGGAGATAGCTATCCAGACAACAAAGAAATAGATAATGGAAAATAGAAAAATAAAAATGAAAGGGATAGACAGTCAAAGCAGTCCCCCAAGCCTTGGGTGCCAGGATAAGAAGAGTCCACCCAGAGCCTTTGAAACAGGTTTCTGAAGAACATTTTACTCAAATCAACTTCCTTAGAATGTCTGTGGAAGGAATCTGGGCATTTTCACTCGAACAATCAAGCAACAAAACTCCATGAACTGGATGAGGTTGAGGAGTAGATCTAGGGCAGATTCCTGCATTTCACATGCAACAATCCCTTGGACCCAGAGAAAAGTTAAAGGCAGTTGAACCATCATTTATAATCCTGGTATGCCTCTGAGGGACGGGAGGTGGAGACAGGATAATCTGCAAAACTTGAAGGCCAGCTAACCTCACTGACACACTGAGTCTCAGGCCCTTTCTCATGACAAGGTGGAAGGAAATGACCAAGACTCAGAGATTGTCCTCTGACTCTGCATGCGTACTCTCGGGTCCCAACACCGCTGACAGGTGCTCCACGACTTCACAAAGGAACACATGGACTTACTTTTCCCTAACTCTTATCTCCCCACTCCTACCACACACACGGAAAAAAGTGTCTATATATAATATGTGAATGTGTGCTTGTGTGTGTTTGTGTGTGTGTGTGTGTGTGTTTGTGAGAGAGAGAGA